GGTGTGTGACTTCTGCCAGGCCCCCCTCCCCTCTTCCTGCAGTCTGCTGGCGGGGATCCAACCACGTGTGAATGTCCCCCCAACTCCTGAAAGGGTCCCTTGGGCTGAGCGCCAAATGCTGTCAGAAACAGGGGCGACACTATCGAACCCCGACCCCCACACTGCCGCTCGAGTCCAGCCTGGTTGGCGTCTCCCACTGCCGGGAACCAGGCCCCCACTGCTGCCGGCCTGAGCCCTCTCCACAGGGCTCCTGTGGCCCCCACGCCCACACACTGCTGGGGCTCAGGGAAGTAGGTCATCTAAGGTCACAAAGTAAGAGCCCAAGTTCATCAGGCTCCAGAGACACGGGCAGCTGAGTGGGAACGCCTGAGTGTTACCTGGCTGCCTCCCTGCTCCTCAGCCTTCCCAGAGGGTCCCCCACCTGACAGGGGCTTACAGATAACAACAGCCTGCGTCTCACACAAATGTAGCACCAGCCAGTGACCAGCCACTCAGGGCTCCCTCACCCCAAAACTGTGAGTACCCAGGCCCCAGGACCAAAGGAGATCCAACTCAGCATCTTCAGTTCACAGTTGACTCTAGGCACAACTCACTAAGGAGGAAGAAAGCACAGATCAGAAACCAAAAATAATAAAAAACCTTTAAACCTCTAAGTCAAAACCTTAGATGGCCCCTCTGGGTGTGAACGGGCCGTGCGGCTTTGCGCACAGGTGGGCTGAAATCTGGCCGAGCTGCGAGCATGAGGAAGCCGAGATGCAGCGTGGAGGCCGGGGAAGCCCACGCCCACGGCGCCAGCAGCGGCAGAGGGAGAGCAGCCATGCGGCGGGCTGCGTCATCCCGGCCGATCACAGGCCACAGGAACAGGTCCGTGTCCCGGAGGTAGATGGGCAAGGCTTGAAACGGAAAATGCCAGCCGGGAACACCGTCGGGGCAGGGGGAGGCTCAGGGGTCAGCGGTGTGACCTTAGGCTCTGGGGTCAGCGGTGTGACCTCAGGCAACCGACCTAACCTCTCTGGGTCCCCGGGTCCTTGCCCATCAAGTGGAGATGAAAACAGTGCCCACCACACAGGTTCGCTGTGATGCTGAAGCCCCCGGCCCAGCGCCCTGCACATAAGCAGGACAAGCTCTAGGTTTTATCAAAGAGGAACATTAACCACGGTGGCGGTTCCCACGCTTCAGGCGTGAGCCGCTACGGCTTTGCGCGTCTACCTACTACTACCTGTAACATCACTCGCTCGCATTGTCTTTAACTTGGCACGCCATTTTTACTTTAAAAAAAACCTAATTTAAAATGAAACTGTGAGAGCGTGAACTCGGGGAATCGATGTGCAAACTGCATTTTTTTTTTTCCTATTACACCTTCAGATGAAAGAGACAACTCTCAGAAATCGGAATTTACGGTGTTCGTCCCAACGGTCTCGGCTGAGAAGCTGCCGAGGCACAGACACACATCTTCTTGCCACCTAGTCTTACCCTGTGGGAACACTGTGACACCGTCTATCCAAGGTACAAGTGTGTTTTCCCTTTGGACCCAGTCGCCCTCTCCTGGGAATTTATGCCGAAGGTCAATCCGCCTACGTAGGAAATAATATATTTACACGGTTGCTCCTTGAAGTATTGTTGACGTTAGAAAAGGTTTCACACGAGCCGAGTGTCGCAGGTGGGGAACCGCGTGACATAAACCACACCGCCGCTACGTGAGGGGACACGGCTGACACAGAGGACAGCAAGACGCACTCTGCACCAACATGGAAAAAAAATCTCGAGTGAAACTGAAAAAAAAAAAGGGGAAAAAACCCAAGATGCAGCAGGATGCGGGTTACATGTTACCTTTTGTGTAAGAAACGTGAAGGGATACAAAGTATGTGTAGGTGACACGTGGGAGAAACCCCCGAAAGAGAACTGGGGGGAGCGGGCAGGGAAACACACCTAGATGTGACGTAAAGCAGCGTATTTCAGTGTTTTTCTGGGCACCACGAGACCTCTCGCCACTCCAGGTGACCCGGGAGCACCGCCGTGCCCCACGCCGCAAGCAAAACGCCAACAATTCCCAGCGGACCGAGAAGCAGGCCGGCCGCGACTCGACCGTGCGGGCTGAGGGTCTGCGAACGTGAAACGCGTGTGACGTCAGAAGCTGTCATCGCACACGCGCCGCCGGGTTTGGCGACACGGGTTTGGCGACGCTCCAAACGCATCTTGTTCTGGGCGAGAGAGTGAACGGACAATGCCGTGTAGACGTGCGTGTGGCTGGCGACGGTCTGCTCGAGCGTTCGATGCATCCATGCCCCTCCGGCTAACGAATAAGTAATGGCTACGTTTGAAGGACGAGCTTCCGGCGTGTGAACTTTGGTAGAACTTTAAAAATGATCTGGGTTAAGACCTCCACTGAGCGAGGTCGATATGAGCATCAGGGGTTAATGAAGAGCCACGTGCAAACTTGAACGCCTGGCTCCGGCATTATTCACTTTCCACTCTGGGGCGAGTCATTTACCCTTTAACGGTTGAAGTTCTTCGTCCGGAGATGGGACGATGATCATAATAGCTCACTTCTGAGATGATGATGACTCCACGAGTTGCCGCCTGGGCGCCGCCTAGTGGTCGCTGGAGGAACCCAACGTCTGTAACTGTTCAGTGTTACGAATTTTCCAGCCGCAGCCTTTGTCTGCGTTTAAATGCAAGTCCGTTCCTTCCTCGACGGCTGGTCCTCGA